ATCATGGGGGAAGAGTCCAGAATAGTTCAGCTCAGAGAGGGATCAAGAAGCAGGGGAATGAAGAAGAGGTCGCAGAAAATGCACCTTTCCAGGACATGCCCCAAGTGACCCACCTTCTCCAGCCATGCAAATCTGCCTGGAGTCAACGCTCTGTCCATTCAAGCCATGATAGACTGATTATTGTATGGCTCTCATAATCTAATCATTTTATCTCTGAGAATTCTTGCATTAACACTGGAAATTTAAGGGGCACCTCATGTACAAGCCATAACAAATATATTTGGAGAGATGAATAGGTGAAGAACACAGAAAATGGTGAAGAGCGCTGGATAAGAGGAAGGACAGGGAGGAGCCAGGTCCTGCAAAGTAGAACATGGACTACATCCTAATGTCAATGAGAAGACCTGGAGGACTTAAAAGTATCTGTGCCATCTCCACATACAGATGTCCTATTCAAACTTGGGTGTGAGGTATATAAACTTGAAAGGCATTGGCAAATATATTATTACTGAATCTCAAAAAATGAATACAGTTATCTGCTGAGTAATATTGTGAAAACAGAGGAGAGGCTCTGAGAAATTTTAAGATTCTCCATATCCTATGGCAGGTAGAAGATGCTAGAACAGTGGGACTAGAAGGAGATGCCAGCAAACAGGGATGCAAGACATCACTACTGTCTAAGGTTGCTGAGGTCAAGGAGGAGGAAACATGGAAAGGAGACACTGGGTTTAGTGCAGTAACTCACTGGTGGCATCAGCAGGAAGTTTAAGTGGAGTTGTGGAGATGAGGCAGCCAAAGTTGGAAGAGTTTAAGACACTTCTGGAGCAAAATTCTCCCCTAAAACATTTTAGGATTTATTTTTTAAAAATGAGAAATGAAGAAATAGAATGCAGAAAATAAAGGCAAAACTGTGTTTTTTCCTCATTAAAGACAGAACGAAAGGAAGAAAATTAAATTCAGGTTTAAGTGGACCCGTGAATTTATAATGCAAATTCCAAACATTTTCAGTTTGATGATTTTTGTGTTTTTATAAATTAGGACAAAATGTTATCCCCTAAGAGTAAAAAGAGACAGTGAGGGATCTGACTTTTCAATAAAACCTGGATGACTATGTAAGTGAATGTTATATTATCTGGGGACAAGATTTAAATCCTGAGATTAGGATCAACAGATTTATACAGGCATAATTCATCTGGTTAGGAGACTCAGTGGCCCACATGGAAATGAGGAGTTGAATTCATCCACGTTCACAATTTTTCATAAAGTTGTGTAAGGAATGCACAAATGGTCACATATAGATATGAAGTTTAGGGTGGACAGAACATGAAGAGATGGGCTCTGAACTATAATCTGGAGAGAAAGTAGGAGTAGTCACAGTTTCCTGTGCATTTCAAGAAACTGAATATTCTTATGTTGTTATAAAATAATGCATATTTGCAGGCATACTGTAAGATAAGTTGGCTATGAACAGAGTGTGAGGTTTGCATGAGCAAGTTTAAATACAGAGCAGTCTCCAAGTACAGCGTATTGCAAGACGGCCCTGGGTATGAAGTGGGCTAGAATGTGAGGTGAGTGAAAGATAAATAAAGGGACATTCATGATGATATTCTTTTTTAAATTTTTTATTTGTTTTGATTAGTTATACATGACAGTAGAATGCATTTATGCACTTTGATATATCATACATGGATGGGATATAATTTCTCATTTTTCTGAGTGTACATGCTGCAGATTCATATTGGCCATACAGTCACATATATACATACAGTAATGATGTCTGTTTCATTCTACTATCTTTCCTATCCCCACATCCCCTCCCCTGTCCTCCCATCACTTCCCTCTACCTAATCTAAGGTAACACTATTCTTCCCTAGTGCCCCCTGACTTATTGTGAATTAGCATCCGCATATTAGAGAAAACATTTGGCCTTTGGTTTTGTGGGATTGGCTTATTTCACTTAGCATGATATTCTCTAGATCCAACCATTTACTGGCAAATGCCATGATTTCACTCTTCTTTAAAACTGAATAATATTCCATTGTGTATATATACCACATTTTCTTTATCCTTTTATCTATTGAGGGACACCTAGGTTGGTTCCATAGTCTAGCTATTGTGAATTGAGCTGCTATAAAAATTGGTGTGGCTGTGTCACTATAGTAAGCTGATTTTAAGTCCTTTGGGTATAAACTGAGGAGTGGGATAGCTGGGTCAAATGGTGGTTTCATTTCCAATTTTCTGAAGAATCTTCGTATTGCTTTCCATAGAGGTTGCACCAATTTTCAGTCCCACCATATTCTTGCCAACATTTATTGTTGTCTGTATTCTTGATGATTGCCATTCTGACAGGAGTGAGATGAAATCTTAGAGTAGTTTTGATTTGCATTTCTCTAATTGCTAGAGATGTTGAACACTTTTTCATATATTTATTGATCAATCATTATTTATTGATCAATTTCTTCTTCTGTGAAGAAGAAATTTATTAACTGTATATTTTAACTGCATTTTTTGGTGTTAAGTTTTTTGAGTTATTTATATATCCTGGAGATTAATGCTTTATTAGATGTGTATGTGGTGAAGAATTTCTCCCAATCTCTAGGCTCTCTCCTCACTTATTGTTTCCTTTGCTGAGAAGAAGCTTTTTACTTTGAATTCATCCCATTTATTAATTCTTGATTTTACTTCTTGTACTTTAGGAGTCTTGTTAAGGAAGTAAGATCCTAGGCTGACGTGGTGAAGATTTGGGCCTATTTTTTTCTTCCATTAGGTGCAAGGTCTCATTCTAGTGCCAAAGTCTTTGATCCACTTTGAGTTGATTTTAGGGCAGGGTGAGAGATAGAGGTTTCATTTCATTTTGCTATGTATGGATTTCCAGTTTTGCCAGTACCGTTTGTTGAATAGGCTGTCTTTTCTCCAGTGAATGTTTTTGGTGCCCTTGTCTAAGATGAGATAACCATATTTATATCTTCTATTTTCATGGCAGAGAGTGAGCTGAAAGATTGCCAGCCATGTGCCAATGTTTCTAATGAGTATCTGTATCCTTCCCCTCAGTTCCCTTTCTCCATTCAGTGTTAGTAAATCCCCTGCCTCAGTCTACAAACAGCACTGAGGTGAGGGCCAAGGAATCCCTATCTCCTCAGATCTGTGTGAGGAATGGGAAATAGTTTGGGGCATGGATATGAGGATGACCACTGTGGCAACAGACCGATCTAATGTCCCCTGTCCTGTGTCCTGTTATCTTACCTTAGTAGTGGGAGTTTTCAGGGAGGGTCTCAGGAAGGCCTCATCAGCATGACCATCATAAATGAAAGTGGGTGCTGAGGAGCACCGGCAAGGCAGAAATACTATGAATTCTGCCACAGTTCTGCAAAGTTCTTATGTGATACAAGTGGGAAGATTAGCCTCATATCCTCCCTTAGAGGAGAGAATGCTTGTTCCTGGAAACACAGCCAGAGAGACCCAGTGAAGTCCCAAGCACATCTGTTTACATATTACATGTACATCCAGTTAGCGATTTAGTTTTTGAGATGTAAACTGAAGGTCATGAATGTAATTGTACTGATTAATCAAATGGTTAAACAACATGTAGTCAAGAGCCGTGCATGATACAATGATGATAATATATTATGAACCCAAAATGATGTAGTCAAATCTGTTAAACAACTACACAGAGATCCTGTTCTTAACCTGAAAGGCTGGCAAGATTTGGGTGATGTATTATCTAGAGGTGGCTATAGGGAAAGCAAACACACATCCTGTGATCAGGGAAACATAAATGGGGCTTCACTTTTGGAGGTTGTTGGGCACATTCATCCAAATCACAAACTCCATACATTTTAATTCAGTAATACCATTATTCAGTAAATATACCACCAGATGCTAGAAATTATTTTTGTGTATATATACATACACACACACAAATACTTGCAGCAGACTGGAAATAACCTAATGTCCATCAGTGAGATCATGGCTAAATAAAGCAATATAAAAGCATTCAGTGGAATTCAAGGTAGGCATTAAAATCAAGGAGACTGTTTATGCAATGATAACAAGCTTGAAGGGACATTTTAATTGAAAAAAGGCAATGCAAAATACTATGTATGGTTCCTATGTGCAATATACATTTTATATAAAGATGTGGATTATATATATGTTTTACTTTTTATAAAATATTTGTCAACATCAATTACATCTATATGGCTATTTCTCTTTTGTATTGAAATATGTGACTATTAGTAATTAAACAACAAATAAAACCTGTTCTGGCAGAGAAATATCCACCAGCATCAGCCCTGTGTGCTGACTAGGTTTTCTCTTTCCTCCCCTGTTTTCTTCCCTTCTTCTTCTTTCCCTCTCACCTCCCCTGTTCCCTTCTTCCTTTTCTAAGTCCCCCTGTCTTCTTATGTCTATGCCTCATTTTTCCCATACTCTTTCTTCCTCTGTCTATCTACATTTTTCCACCTATGTCACTTGTGGTCAACGAGCATTTTTAGGGACTTAAGCTACAGTCCAGTGGCCCCAACTTTAAAGAGTAGGATTTTAGACGTTCTCCTGTGGCTCAGAGCCCCTGATTCCTAAAGGCTCACCCAATGGAAACTCTGCCAGCTTCTCTAGGCCAGGCCACCGCCCTGCACTCCCCCCCCTCTATTATCTCCTTTACCACAGGTCATTTGGGAGCAGACTCTGTTCCATCATTACTTCATCTCACTGTTGATCAACTTTCTTCTTTTCTACCTAATTTTCCCTCCAAACCTCCTGTTGGTGCTTCAAAACTATCATTTTCCACTTAACAATCTCCTCCATTCTAAAACCTAGATTCTCAGTATTGTTCAACCCTAAGGTTTTACAAATTTCATTTTTGAAACTAAGGATGGCTCATCTATATTTTTTTTGAAAAAAAAAGTTATTGATTCTTTTTAGTTATACATAACATTAGGATTTATTTTGACACATTTATAAAAGAATTGAATATAATTGCTCTAATTCAATCCTTAATAGTTAAAATTCTGAAAGTCTTCTGGAATTTGTATGTCGTCCTTGTGCAAAGGCCATGCTAATCTGCACTGTATCACTCCAATTTATCATATGTGCTACTGAAGCAAGCATTGGAACATATATATTTTATAGTTGTACTTTAAGGTTAAACATGGGAGCCATTAGAAAGCCAATTATTTATTAGAAGCCTGCTGTGCTTCAGAAGATGTGTCTGCAATGAGGTGACAGACCAGTAAGAATGAACCTTGACCTTATTAAGTGCACCACATGAGAGTATGTAGGACGAGGGGGAAAGGGCAATTGTAAACCTGCAGAATCCTATATACATACAGGAATGGGGAAAACCATTGGATGTTTGGGAGATGTAAAGAAAGCAGCTGTTAATCCAGTTTATATGCATCAAAGAAGGATGCACACAGGAGAAAATCCTAAATTTGGATATTTAAGGATCAATAAATGTTGTGGAGATGAAGGGGAAAAGTCCTGGGCAGAGTCTAGTATATGTGAAGGCCTAAATATTCAAAACATGTTTGAGGAAAATGTTAAGATTTTAACTATGACTGAAACACAGGGTTAGTGACTGGGAGAAGGGGGTGGTGATTTGAGGGAGAGTAATAGGAAGTCAGTAACAAGTGGAAGCTGGACACTAACATGTATTACGATCAATCTAATGCGGATTGTGATGGTTAATTTTGATTCAATTTGACAGAGTTGGAGCACCGAGATAACTAGCTAAACATTATTTCTGGGTGTGTTCATCAGGGTGTTTCTGGACGGTATTAACTTTTGAATTGGTAGACTGGATGAAACAGATGGCCCTCCACACTGTGGGTGGACGTCCTTCAATCTGTTGAGGGTTGGAATAGAGCAAAAAGCACAGGAGTGTTCAATTCACTCAGCCTGAATGCAGCCGCTGAAACATGGGTCTTCTGCCCCCAAAACTCTTGGTTCTCAGGCCTTGAGTGAAGGTCTTGGATGGACATTCATTCATGGCTCTCTGGCCCTTGGGACTTCAAACTATGCCACAGTCTTCCTGTGACTCCACCTTGACATTCCAGATGGACAGATGACTCAGTTTCTAAAATCACCACAGGAGCCCATACTTTGTAAGGAATCTCTTTTAGTGTGTTGATATGGAGGGAAATTGGGAGTAGGTTCTCTGGAGAATCCTAATATATGTGTGATGCTAAAAAATTTGGATTTTACTCTGTACGTTGAGCACATGGAGTCATTAAAGTATTTATCAATGTCCCTTAGCCACTTAAAATGCTCAGAATCACATATTTCATGTCGAAATATTAATCCACTCCTTCTTTTAATTTTGGAAAATACCCAATTTCACATTTTTAAGGGAGAATATATTAGAAACAAAGTTATGGAAGGTAAATGGATGCAAGTAATTTGCAATTTTTTAATCTCAATGGATGGTCAGAGATGGGTGGATGGTTTAGGTACAGAAAATGGAGCAAGAATCTTTTGCTAAAAAGAACCGACACCATTAAATTAATTTGGTTTTCCATCTGAAATACACATACACAATTTCACATATAACCTGGAGTGATACACAGAACTTATACTTTCTGATTGAAGAGAGAAAGTGGGGAGGACAGGTTTTAGACTGCAAATCATAGTTCCAGTAAAATCACACATAAATAAGTGTGTTTTGCTCCTCAGAGTAGTTCTCTTAACTCACTGAATTTAATGAGTCATTCACACAAGAATGGTTTATTTTCACATTTTTCTCTTCTTTCTCTCAGCAATAGAAGTTGCCAACTTTGGGATAGAATGAGGAATTTATCAGAGAAAATGCCCTAATTGGTCACTCTCTTTGTACCTGTTAGGAAATCTTGTATCTTCATTTCAGCTTGCCTTAGAAGAAACCATAAGCCTTCTAGAGACAAATTCCATTTCTCTATCCGTAATTAAAAACGAAGGTTGGCAATTTCTTAGAACTTGAACTGCTTTAAATCTTAAATTGAGTCACATCCTTGAATTAATGCCTTACCTCTCAGACAAACCTATGCTTGACTTGCTTTGTCATTTCTGATAGCTCTCGAGTTTATAGATTCCTCACGATCTACATTGAAAAGTACATTTTGAATTTTCTTTTGATTTACAAAAGGTAACTTGGTTTTGCAGTGTTAAGGGATACTAAAGGCTTTTGTTCAACTCACTCAATTTGCAGAACAGGAAGCAGATAATACTACATGTTCGGAGATCTGAGAACAAACACTGGATCTTGAATCAGAGGGACTGGTTCTCCTAGTAGCATTGCAGTTTTTGGTTTTTGTGAAATTTGATTGGTCATTTTCCCTCTTTGCGACTTCCATTATCTTACATGTAAAATTGGTGCACTGCTTCAGAGGTTCTTGATGGCCTTTTACCACACTGACATTCTGTTGCGATTATGAAGGAAGAAGGTTGGAAATTGAAATTTATACATGCAGGTAGAGAGAGAGAGAGAGAGAGAGAGAGAGAGAGAGACATATTGTATATTATATGTCACATATGTGCATTTATTTGTGATATATCACATTTCTCTATACCAAGGCTTGGACTAGGCCCTGTAGCATTATATTTCCTGATTCCTGCCTTCAAGAAGGTTATCATCTATTCATAAAATTTTCGAGGATTCCAGAATTCTGTGAATTTTATGCAGAATTGCATGAGTGTAGGCCATTATCTGTAACAAGTAAGTATTGCTTATAGAGGATTCATAAAGAAGACTATGGTGCCCAAATTTGAGTACTACTAGGTATATATTAAAAACTAACATAATACTAATTAATTTGTACTAAGCAAATTTTCTCCCATGGATGTTACATATTAGGAGGAAAATAATCAAGAGGCATTAGGAAACAAATATAGGGATTCACTAATATCAAATGAAATGAGTACTCTCAGGACAATGAAATGGGGTGATATATTTTTGTTGTTTTGTTTTGTTTTGTTTTGTGCCAGGGATTGAACCCAGGGGCACTTTACCACTGAGCCATATTCCTATCCCTTTTTTACTTTTTATTTTGAGACAGGGCTTTGCTAAGTTGCTTAGGGCCTCACTAAGTTTCTAAGGCTGGCCTGAAATTTACAATCCTCCTTCCTCAGCCCCCTGAGTCACTGGGATTAGAGGCTTGGGCCACTGCACCAGGCAGGATGGTATGTTATAGAGTGACAAAAAAGGAGACTTCAGATTGAATGACTAAGGATGACCCTATGAGAAAGTGATAATAGAAAAAGAGATTGGGAATCCCTGGGTCCCCTGTTACCCCACAAACATAGAAGTTCAGCAATTGTTCATGAACAAATTGCCTTTGAGAGAAAAGCGAATTGAAAGTCCCCGTGCCCCAGGAGAATTCTAAGTTCAACTTGCGGAAGCTGGCAGGGAGATTTAGGACATTCTCATGATAAATGTCCTTCCCCTGACATGCAATCAGGAAGAAATATTCCATGTCAGCTTTACCCAGGGGAGAAGGGGCTGGTTCACACATTCAGTACCTCAATTTTCCAACGGGGCTCCCCAGAGTATTGTCTTCTCCTCCATTAATCCTGAAACTCTGATGCACCTGGCATAGTCTAGCTATGGAAAGGAGAATTGGGGCAGTGTATTGGACTGGTGGATGTCTTTGACCCTGCCTCTTCTCAACAAAAGAGTGAGTGGAGAAAAAAATATCCCAGGTGGACAAGTAGAGCAATGGAATAGAACAGAGTCTAGATTTAAAACAACAACAACAACAACAAAAAAAAAATCCCCAAAACACATGTAAAGTCAACTGACCTTCACAAAGGATGGTAAGAACATTCAATGGGAAAAATATAGTTTATTCAGCAAATGGCGTTAGGAAAAGTGTGCATTCACTTGCAAAAGAATAAAATTAGACCCTTATCATACACTTCATATAAAAATCAACTCAAAATGGATTACAAACTTAAAGGTAAAAATGGAAACTGCAAAACTCCTAGAAGAAAGCACAAGGAAAAATCTTCCTGACATTGGACTTGATAGTGATTTCATGGGTATGTCATGAGAAGCACAAACAATGAAGATATAAATAAGTGAGAAGTAAAATGCTTTTGCAGTGTAAAGGAAAAAATCAAAGAGTATAAAGGCAATTGTGTTTGTCTGTGTTTCACTGCTATAATGAAATAGCCAAGAGAAGGTATTTTATGAAGAAAAGAAGTTATTTTGCTGACAGGCTTGGAGGTTGAAAGCACAAGATTTCTGGGCATGGTGTCACATGCCTGTAATCATAGCAGCTCAAGAGTCTGAGGCAAGAGGATTGCAAGTTGAAGGTCAACCTCAGCAACTTAGTGAGACTCTAAGCAACTTAATGAGATTCTGTCTTAAAATAAAAAAAAAATAAAAAGGACTGGAGATGTGGCTCCGTGATTAAACACCCATGGAATCAATCCCTGGTACAAAAAAATGAAAGAAATAGAGAAAGAAAGAAAGAAAGAAAGAAAGAAAGAAAGAAAGAAAGAAAGAAAGAAAGAAAGAAAGAAAGAAAGAAAGAAAGAAAGAAAAGAAGGAAGAAAGGAATAAAGGAAGAAAGGACAAGATTGGGTTGGCCTATAGGTTCAGCCCCTTGTGAGGGCCCAATGGCATCATGGTGGAAGTGAGAGATCATATCACCAAACAGGAACCAGAGAGTGATTCAGGGGTCAGGCTTACCCTTATAACAACTTGCTTTTGAAAGAGTTTAGGGATCCATGAGAGATACCTTAATCTCTTCCTAGGCCAGCTGCTATATTACCTATGGAACCCCTTTGTAGGTCCCACCTCTTAAAGGTCTCACTAGCTCTCATATTGCCACACTAGAGATCAAGTATCCTACACACTAAGCCTTCGGACACTCACTGAATTATGTCAAAATCATGGTTACAACCAATGGAATGAGAGAATATGTTCATAAACCATGCATCTGGTAAAGGTTAGTTTCCAAAAGATAAGGAACTCCTATATCAAAAGTGTAAAACAAAACAACACAACAAATAAAAACAATTGGCTAAGGGCTTGAATAAACATTTCTCCAAAATGGATATGCAAATATCAACAGGTCTATGAAAAACTGTTCAACATCATCAGTCTTCAGGGAAATGCAAATGAAAC